CTCATAACAAAATCACTTTATTTTGGATATAAATGCTGGCAATGATATTGATATATTTCATGTTCAAAAAAACTGTGAATCAGTATAATGTATAATTGTGTAAATTTGTATAGAAATATACACGGTTTATAGTCGGCTATGTGTTTGTCGTGAAAATAACATAAAAAATTAACACATTATTAGTATGATAAATTTAAGATCCTGTAAAACGCGATAACTAATGACATTGGTAATGTTCAAAGTTATAGAATTTGGGGACAACGTGAATGCACCTCATTAAATGACAGGGAATTTTTTTTCTGCAATACCATCTACATCCCTATTTCTATCTCTGGCAACAACAAACGTATAGCAGATCAGTTAGAGCTTAATTAAGAGAGTCTCGTTTGAATTGCTATTTAGAAGTAATGAAAGTCAATTGATTTCTTTTCAAGTTTACACAAGATTGTAAACTACAAGAATTACAAGGAAAGTGCAACACACTATAATTAACCCAAACCTTACCATATATTGTACATCGAGAGTAAAACCGATTAACAATCTACACTTATTGAATATGTAGTTTTATTGTTCCCTTGGCGTAGTTTGGAATTGGAAAAAAATCTGTTAAGACCGGCCCCACTCATAAAACAAATTTACTTGCGATTGTTCTTAAGTAATTTAATGATAAAAAAAGCAATTCAAGACTTTAAACTGAACCTCGACATACAAACATTCAATACTCTATATGCAAGATATGGGTAATATATTTGAAAGTTTTGAAAAAAATTGAAAAAGGCTTAGGCATAATTATTTCAACTAAGCGTTCCGTCCTAACTTTTTTCCTTTTCTCACTTTATCATCATTTTTGTGTGTATTGTGCTCATTAGCAAGTGGAGAACTTAAATATAGATAATTTAAAATGTTGTCATACCAGTTAAACATTAGGGAGCTGCAAATGGTGACCTTCGCCTTTTAAAAGGAAGTACAATATGTGTTGCATCCTACATCAACCGTACAAACTGAGCCATAACACAACAGTCTCATCAATCTCACATTTCATTAGCTTAGCCTAGTTTTGCACTAACTCTGAAAACGAGATATATAAGCTACTCGTTCGTCTCGTACTCGTTTGATGTGAACTCGAACACATGACCTTCTAATTTATGGAATAAATTCACTATGATATCGGAAGAGATATTAATTATTGGCAATGTCGCTGTCGAAGATTAAGTGAAGTGTACTTCACCACTCACTTAAATGGTCTATTGGTTACAGCACTCTGTATATGCTGACAATTTGCTATGTGTGTAAATCATGGCCCTAACAAATGATGGGAAACGACTTGGACAGTGCTTACTTATAGTCTCGAAATGCAGATTTTGGCTGCGATAATTCCATTTCTTCATTTCATTTATGTATTGGGTGGACTCGAAGCTTTTACATTTGAGACATGGAAAACACAGGTAGAAGCTTTTTCTGAAATTCTTATATAGGCATATACAATTAGGTACATCCAAATGTTGGCAAGGTAACTTGCGAAGTGAGGCGCGGTGTTGAAGTTCAAAAATACGTAATCGGTGTAAAAATATAAAGAGATGGAAATATAAAAAAAACGCCACGGAAACCACCCTTTGTGTCGAACTGAATCACTCAAAAAGAGACAATTTTCACAGCTTTTCTCGATCTTGTTTGGAGATGCGTTTGAGGTTGATTCGCATATACTGTAAAATGCCGCGTTTAACCCATTGGAATGGAGCACATTGTTATTGTGACTATAGTGTACACTCCGATTCCAACGTTTTGGCAGATATCAATAATTTATGTGTTTGCAAATCAGTTTCATTCCATTTGACAGAGCATGATGATTCTCGTTTAGTACCTTGATATTGTATAATAATATATTATATTTAATATGGAGATGGACAATAAGGTTTGCACACCAGTGACAATACTTTTGTATATGCTCACACGTTACTCCCACAATGATGATAATTACAATTGCCTGGAGCAGCTGGCACTGGTTCAAGAATGTTCTCACAAATACAGATGTACACATCTTAAATTCTCTAACAGCGTAACAGATGTTTCCAGCTTGAACAAGAAAGAACCTTCAGTTTATTTTGACAGTATATAATGGTCTACTTTGACGTAAACCGCTTCCCTGTAAAATTCATAGATACGCTACAAAAACGTGGTCACATTACGTCACATAACGTAAGCCACTATAGGCTTAGTGTCCAGTAACAATATATACGATAAGGGATAAAGTTTGATATACAACTTCGTACAATGTGCAAGTACTAATAACGCGTTTAAATCTATGGAGACCAAATCTTAACAAACCATATTAATCTCTGTATTCCGGTCCCAATCTTCTTTTTTCAGCTACAGTCTACAGAGATTTGACTCAATCTGATACGTATGTCATTATATAATGCCCGGTAATAGGAATTCCACGAATGCATGTTATTCACGTTAATTGTAATCTATAATATTCATTGGAACGTATACTCTTTACTGTAAATAGTGAGTGCCTTTTTGTGGAATGTTATATTTGATTTATGTAAAACACATTCAATAAAGCGATTATAAGTGAGCTGGAATGTTTTTATGTTTGAACAATGACAATGTGGCATTCAGTGCAACTTAAATTGATGTAGACTGTCAAATATAACCTTATGTATGTATTATGTATACGTTACATTGATAATGATATATTAATATTAATTAATATAATTACTGATACTGCTTAAAATAACATTGCTTAAAATATGGTTTGTTAACATGATTATGTAAATATAATAATAAATCAAGGGTTTGACATAGTAGCTATATTGAGCCCAACTAAATTTAGTATGCATCAGTAAAAATGAATCGGATAAAGCTGTGATGTGCTCAAGTGTATTTTTCATGTCGTAAAACCATCTTGATGTAGTAAAGGAATACATATCGGTTTACCATACTTTTATTAACAAACGTGACTAAATTACACTAAATCACACAATACCATTCTCAAACAACAAGTCAGACATACTTTTACGTGCGGTGGACCTCAGTTATTTCCCAATACTATTATTGTTCAATATTCATAATTGAACATTAACGTCTATACATTGGTAATTAGAGGATCACTTTTAAGTTATATGAAGTAACTCATAAATAGGCATTGTGTATACTAAGTCATCAATTGTAGAAGGAGAGCCTAATTGTAAAAGTTTCTTTTTTTCACATCAAAAATAATACCGCTACTGTTCTTATTCAAAGATTTTACATTAATAAGGTAACTGAAGCTATTTAATGAATGTTGTGCATGTTTCCGTGTGTCTGGTAAACACAGCTATCATAATGAAATATAGCCCTATATTTTTTAGGACGACTTTTCATTTATTTGGGACACATGATAATACACGCAATAATCTTATTGTCCTGTCAATGGATTGGAGAGATATACAAAGGCTTCTGCGGGATGCTTCTTATTGACGTTAACCCAAGAGTGATAAATGATGCAGATCGTCGATGCCGTTCTCGGTGATAGTTGTACATGTTGCGATCTTATACATGTATATCATCGAGAAAGGTTGAAAATAAATGAACCTATTACTTATATCCATATAAGTAGACTATCACTATGACATGTGTAATTTGATATCAGCGTGTGATGGAATGAAACTACACAATACAGTGACATGATGCCATGAATAATGCTTGAATTACATCAAGAGTCATTTTTCTAGAGTCAATGATTCAGCCACCAATCCCACGTGACGACTTCAATACAGTTTTTACAGTGAGATTGTTTAAAGAATTCACGTTCTGGAATTCTACCCAACATACGTTCTATTTGAGTCCACACTTAGGGTACACTCTATTGGCTTCAACGAGTAATAGTAAACTAAGATGTTATGCGATTATTCATGTCCTATTAAAAGGAATTATTCAGTCTTGCTGAAGCATTTTAGTCAGTATAATCACAATCCTAAACATTTTAGCCAAACAATAATCACCACAAAATACAAGATATGAAAACTATATAGATGGCATGCATTGTTATCCTGGATCATTATATTACGTTTTTCTTCCCATGAACATGAAAACATATTGCACTACACAACTACCTACCTTCTCTCAGCTAACCATCTGTATATAATATTTGACACTCTCTCTTGCAAAGTGTCATTGATTTTTTGAATACTAATTTTATAGATTGAAAATCGTGACACATTTGATGGTTCCTCGTTGCCTAATAACACTTGTAACGATAAATTAATTTTGTTTCCAGGTTTAAATTCTAGTACTAATTATCTAAATGGTCTATCATTGTCCGAGACAACAAATAAAACAATTACAATAAGGTATAATTCTAAAAAAAATCATTTGAATAACATACGGGGATTATTATCTCAGCAGAAACGTACATTTGTGCAGCCGTCTCTTCTCTTCCACCTATTGTTTAAGTCTATCAAATGATATTATTTACAGAACATTACTTGTGGGTTTAAAACTATATTGGTTCGTGACCTAAATACAGAATTATCATTAATAAATTGGTGCAAGTTTGTTTCGAGCTTTGTTGTCGTCCAGACATTGTCATCAAATATATGTATTTTTTATAATGAATTCCCCTTGAATCATTTTAATTAGAATAAAGCACATATGGCAGTCACTGGTGTTATAACGCATATACAACTTGTCCAATAACTTAGGCACTAGATTACATAGAATATCATATTGATTATATTATGAGAGTTGTTTGGTTTTTCCCTTTACTGCGAAATTTATACAGTGATATGTTGGTATTATGTTCCCCGTGTCGCTTGTCATTTGTAACTTCGGTATTGCCGAAAGTACTATATAACACTGGGTAATTCCACTATAATAAGATTATATTGAGACATCGACTCGTTTCGTTTAATTTGTCGAAGTCTACATATATACTTGAATCAGATCTGCAATTCCACAGTATATGTGCGGCGATATTGCACCCTATAAAGTTATACGTGTTATATTCTGTATCATATTCATGTTATCGTGTTGTTATGAGCGATAGACCGGCCTGTTACGGTTTTTATTGTTCCCTGATTTGGCCCAACTCTGGACTGATCCTTCCATTTGAGGCATGGAAACAACAGGTAGAATTCTTTTCTGAAATTCTCATTGAAGTAGGCATATACAATTGGATTAACCCAACTGTTGGCAAGGTAACTCGCGATACACGAAGCGGCTATGACGTCTGACCATACGTACATACTGATCGGAATTGAGTCGGGGTCGGCGAAATCGAAATATAAAGAGAAGAAACGCCACGGAAACCAAGTTATGCCAAACAGAACCACCACAAACGAGAGCATTTTCACAGCTTTGCGTTTCTTGTTCTTAGATGCGTTGTTTGGAGATGCGCTGAACCAAAGCGACGATATCATGATAAAATACATAGCACACAATATCAGTAAAGGTACCAGATACATAACCAGGAAATCGCTGATCTGCATATACTGTAAAACACAGTGTTTTTCCATTGAAATGGTACACATTGCTATCGAGACCGTGGTGTTCACGCCTACTGGGTACGTTCGCGTCACAATGTCTAAAATATGGAGACGGTAATACGAGTAAGTCATAGCGCATATCCAAATTATGGATATGCATGTCAACGCGTCTTTACGGGTAAGCCTGGGACGAAGTGGCTGCACGATGGCACGATATCGGTCAACGCCGATACCCAGCAGCGAAAATATGGTAGCACACTGAGCAACCCAATGAAGCCAACCGGAACCCTTACACAAAACCACATTCGTCATCGTTAGATCGAAAGCCACATAAGCTAATTGCGTCGGGATAAAGAAGATCGCCATCATGAGGTCGGAAATCGAGAGGGAAATAATGAACATACACGTTGATGATTTCCTCAATTTTGGTTGACGTGCGACAGCGAGCAAGACCCATATGTTGCCGCACACAATGAAAATGAAGAAGCTGACAAACAGTGCAACTGATACTTCTCTTGGTACAACCTTCGCTGCTGGAAATCCAGAGTCGTAGACAATATCCGAACTATTTACACTGGAATGGTGCTCCGTGGCCATATCTCAAATCACGAATGTCTGCAGTTAAATAGAAAATGTCTATCAGTAATGGATGATATTCAAACCTTTCAGTCTCCTTTCTCCACCAAAAACTAACAATTCATACAATACGAGCACGGGATTCTGCTAAGTCTGAAAACAAAGGACAGAATAAACCGTAGTTTAGCATGTTACATTATGTTACTGTATATAAGTTACCCGATAAATGTAGAAATACAAAATTATTAATGAAGCTTAGTAATAATCATTAACGACGCGTTTGCTCTGCGTGTGTATGTGTTCCAGGATTGACTCGATTTAGCAGGTATGGTTTGGTACTTTGTTTAAAACAACTTCACAATGAGTGTAAATTAAATTAATCAATTATGCTGAGCATTACTGTTTAGTCTTAAAAATGTCACTTTAAGAGTCACAAATATAATTTCAGATGATAAATGATGTATTGTGGGTATGGCAACCTTTAGATAATACACACTGCAGAGCGTGCATTTTAATACAGTATTATTATTTTTTTTATTTATTTGCGTATGATGTGGTACATTTATCCTTAAGTGTGGGTGTAATGCCAATATAGTATGGGTTGATCTTAATTTGCAATTTACCTTATTCGCATTTGGTTATTTGGAGCAAACTCATTTCAGTCAATTGCGCATCTAGAGAACATTGACTTACAACTGTAAATGGAGATATTGCGTGTTTATGCAACTAATTCGGAGCGCACTATATCACCATTAAACGAAAGCACAACCTTCCATTATATATTGTTAGAATTGTATTCGGGGAAAGTAATTAAAAATGTAAATTTGTGCAACGAAAATGCATATTCTTTTGAGCGTTTTCAAGCTTGGATTTGTTTTAAATCGGCAAATACCCCCCTCACAACTACTCGCCCGCCAGATGTTGTCGGATCAGTTAACTAACCTGAAATAATTAACCTATTGACGACTTACTCGCATAAACACATACTATATTGTATTTGTAATATGTAAGACTGTCACAGGGTGCTAGTTGGGTTGAGCTAAAACTTCAAATTGTTCCAAACAAATGACACCCATAACACCTCTGAAGTGTACGCTACACGAGTAAGGTTTAAACAACGTACTTTATTCCACACACCTAAAGGATAGGCAGGAAATACCTGACCCGTTACAAGAGGTAGTTGAATACACGTTGTAATAATATTGTAATATTTCCACACGGAAAAGGAGTGGGCAAGAAATGCCAAATCCACTATAAAGGGGTAGTGGGTTACGTTATACTATTACGAGGAAATGCCTAAATTGATAATGTAAATAATTGTCTAACATAGAATCTTACATGCATGAATGCATAAAACTTAGAGACAAACATACATAACAGACAACGGACGCAAATAATATACTGGCGATCGGACACAGCCGTACCTACATACCCTTTCTTTAAACTAGATGAAACGGGTCTTTCCGTGATAACGGTGTATTTTCCAGCGAGTCTCTGCTAACGGTGGCGACGACGGTTATTATAGAACGCAGTCAGAAGCACTGTAGTCGTAGAATACACGCTGCATACTCAGTCGAGCACGAAACCAATCAATTACAGAATTTATCTGTCAAATATTCGTAACTTGTAGAAGGAGAGTGGTCCGGGTGGATTCCCTTGCACCGCAGTACATATCCGTAGCTGGGAACATAAATTAGGAGGCGCATCCAGTTCAAAACCAAAATCGAGAATGTCATTCACTGTCAAGTTTCCCCACTCGTTAACTATAGTATGCCGGAATTAGCCAATAGAATTATCTTTATGCTGCACATTCCGTGGATCACAATACATTAATTTGTATGACAATACACAGTACATTGTTCTAACGTTACTTGCAAACGCGTTATTTGTAGACACGTGAAAATTGTTATAATTGACAGTCTGCCAGCTACGGCGAACGACGTCCTCCAGAATAGAACACAATCTCCCATGATGCAATATTACTTAATGGCTTAATGTGGTACCTACAAAATCGGACATCAACATTTGATCGCATATGAACATTCAGATCGGATTCTATCAAAGTCTGCTTCTCCAGTACTGACTAAAATAAACATCTTGCCACTCTTTATTTAACAAGTATATATCGCCAAAAACAACATTGCCTATCTATCGCCATAACAAACAAACACAAAACACATCACGACATACAAACACAAAACACATCACGACATACAACATAAACATGATTAAATGTTTGACATTCGTGA